ATTGAAATCATAAGTTATTAGGTTAAAACCAACGCATAGTGTGTGTGCGATGTATATAAAATCTATATAAGAACTATGCAACTTGTACGAAAAAATTAAATGAGTAATTTTAAAATTTTAGATTTTCATCAAAATTATGATATAAAACCGGTTTAACGTCACCTAATACATATTTCAATGTAGGAGGCAATTTATTAGTGTACTATTAAAAATTAGGGAAATTCTACATGGTGGCCTCATGGTTTTGAGTTTTTTACGTGGAAGACGAACTTTTTTCCATCTCTCTTTAGTGGCACCAAGGTTTAGAAAAATTGACATAGTGACTTTTTTTAGGTTTATGGCTAACCTTTTTAATTAAAATGGTTAACTTTTGATTTCTTTTATTTAAAAATTATTTAAATTATATTTTAAAATAATAAAATTTACAAAAAAAAACAAAAAAAAAATTAGAAATCCTTGCCCCACCCTCCTTCCCTTCCCTGACCACCCCATCCCCACCGCCCACCGGCTAACCCACACTGCACCTCCCCTTTCCCGTCACGCCAGCCACCCCGCTCACCAACCGTCGAATCCCCTAACCCCCGAAAACCTCCCTACCTGAAACCTAGCCCATAAAACCTCCCGGACCTGCCTTAAACAAAGCCCGAAACAACTACACGCAGAACTGACAACACCAAACAACCACCATCACAACCAACCTGAACTTCGAATTATGCTTCAATTTGAATACAGGGATGGTGAGTTCACGACGGAGGTGGTTCAAGGGGAAGGGGAAGGGCCGAAGGGGCGGTCAAGGGGTGCGACCGGCCAATTTTCGTTGAATTTAGGGTTCCGCGGTGGGGGTGGCGGTGGTTTCGTTGGACTTCGAGTTGTTTAGGGGATTGGGGTGGCGGTTATGGGGGTTAGGGCTAGGTCAGGTGGGGTTGTGGAAGGCCGGTCGGCCACCTTTGGTGGTTTCGATGTTCGGGGGTTGGGCTGGAAGGTGGTTTCGGTGGTCGGAGGTGGCCGGATTCCGGCAAGGTTAGGGTTTGCGGGGTGGCTGGGAATTTTTGGGAATATTTTTTTTTCTTTTTTTTTTAAAAAAAATATAATTTAAATAATTTTTTAATAAAAAAAATAAAAGGTTAACCATTTTAACTAAAAAAGTTAGCCATAAACCTAAAAAAGGTCACTATGTCAATTTTTCTAAACCTTGGTGCCATTGAAGAGAGTTGGAAAAAAGTTCGTCTTTCACGTAGAAAACTCAAAACTATGAGGCCACCATGTAGAAGTTCTCTTAAAATTATTTCAATTCCCTAGGATAAAGTGATAGGTTTTAGTAGTAATGTAGAAGCTTCCTATATTTAAATTTTAAAAATGTTAAATATGATAGCTCTCAAAAAAAAAAAAAAAAAAAAAAAAAAAAAAGATGACATCATTCTAGCACTTAAGCGAGAAATTTTATTAAGAGAGCGACATGTAAACAGTGGTGACGTTTGCATACTTTGTTTTAATTTTAGTTAATAGATTACGATACCCATAGTATAAAGTTTGAAATAGAAGCGAACTAAGACAATTAAACTCTGTTTTATCAAAGAATGATCTACTAGATAGAATATATATACCCGTACCCTCGTTTTTTGTTGGTTCCGTTGAATCCACTAATTTGGATGGTAAGTCTTCTGCAATTCCATAAACACGGCACAATGATGTTACAAATGTAATAATTAAAGCATGTACAAGTGCACAGCTATAAGATTTTAACATTTATCGTTTGTACAAGAATTAAGCTAAGGGGAAGACAATGTTACAAGATGAGTGAATGTAAGAAAAAAAAAAAGTAGATAAAGTTTAAAAAAAAAAAAAAAAAAGAGTAAATATAATTATGAGTGGGTGTTATAGAAAAAAAATGTGAGTTTTTTTTTTTTTTTTTTTTTTCTTTTTCTTTTGTTTTTGAAATTATTATCACGGAACTAGTGAAAACATATGGTGACAAATAGGGCTTAGTTTGAGTCCTAAAGGATTATAATAAATACGGAGTACGAAAACTCCAATTGCAATCATCTACTTTATGTTGACCCCCTTACAAAAACGTGTATAGTTAAAGTTATCTCTCGAAGTCCCACAAATAATTTGAAGATTATCCTAGAATCACCTACAATTAAAGTTATAATTTGAAGTTTATAAATTTGTGCTACAATTAAAGTTATAAGATGTTGGAGGGATTTTAAAGGGAGGAATGTTATGCATGTAGAAATGCATAACAAGGGGCATTCATGTAATTACACATATGTACAAACGAATTCATATCCCGGTATCATTGGATGATCAAATAATACCACTGAACATACGGTGACATTATATATATATATATATATTCAGTTGTACTATTTTTATGCATAAATAGTACCACTAAAGATTCAATGGTACTGCTATATAAGCTTTCAGTGGAACAAACAGCATGTGGTCCCTCATCACGTGAAACAATTTGACCAAAAAAATAGGTGGGGTCCACCTACATACCTCTCTCTTCCTATCTCTCTCCTCTTTTCTCTCTCTACCATGTGTTTTTAGAATATTTTAATCAAGGTTATGTATTTACAAATACATAACATTCCTACATTACTACTTCCCCAAGATGAAGAGCCCTATCGGGTTGGAATCCTTCACGTGTCATTACATCAGGTATTCAATTAAAAAAAAGTGCCACATAATTGAGCTAAAGCCACAATCATAAGGGGAAGTAGTAATGGAGGAATGTTATGCATGTAGAAATGCATAATAAGGGGTATTCATGTAATTACATATATGTACAAGAATGTATCATTGGATGATCAAATAATACCGCTGAACATACAGTAATACTATATATGCATATGGTGGTATTATATATGCATTCAGTTGTACTAAAATGCATAAATAGTACTACTGGAGATTCAAAGGTACTATATAAGCTTACATTGAAACAATCAATATGTGGTCCCCCACCACGTGAGATAATCTGACCAAAATAGGTGGGGTCCACCTACAAACCTCTCTCTTCCTATCTCTCTCATCTTTTCTCTCTCTATCATGTGTTTTTAAAATATTTTAATCATTATTGTATATTTACAAATACATAACATTCCCCCCTAAAAAATTCCTCCAATCCTAACAAATTAAGTGTTTACACCTTTAACAATTTTATTGGAACTAATCCAAATTCTCAAGCTCAAAAACTTAAATACTTCCTTCGTTTCTATTTAGTTGACATGTTCAATTTAGGCACACATATTAAGGAGAGGAGAAATAATGATAAAGCAAGTGGGGTACTTTAGTAAATGCAAGGTATAAAACTTACCCCTAAAAAGAAAAAAAGTATCAACTATTAAAAAATAAACTTTCAAAAAGAAATACGTGTTAACTAAAAAAAACGGAGGTAAGTACTTTAATTAGAGATTAGAGTAATAATATATCAAGCCTTTTAACTTAAGGTTGCAAATAACATACTGTATTTAATAACTTTCCTAACCCAATATTAATTTAGAAATACAATGTAAATTTATGTGTCAATTATTGTAAATAATGATTTATTTTATTTACTGGTTCCCCTTTTAAATTTTTATATGTCCCTCTTATCATCTTATATATTGTTTTCTTATTTTTTATTTTAGGCATTGTTTTTAACTATTCCAAGATCGTAAATAAGAAACAATAACTTAAACAAATACATAGTAAATTAAAACAAACTTATAAAAACAGGAAAGTAGCACAAAAACTCATACCAGCAGGAGCATCATCATCTTGATCACTGAGCAAAGGTTTAGCAGACTGAAGTTTAGCACCAAGAACATCAACCCACTCATAATCTCTAATTGTCCCTCTCCACGCCACATAAATCTCTCTCCTTCCACTCTCCTTACTCACCTCATCATTCGATACGACGACGTATCCGATCCAATTCGACTCCCTATCCCACTTCTCACGTGATCTCGACTTCAGCAAAAACGCCTCAGGCACACCAACACGTGCAGTGGCATACAAAAACCCAACAACCTGAAACTTATCAGCACCACCAGGAAAACAGGTTTTCTGTAAAAGGTCTGACTTAGCATAGCGACTAGCACCGCAGTAGGCGGAGTTAGGGTCGTTGATGAAGGTGTCGTAGGTTACTTGACAGAAGTCGCCACAACGAAGGATCAGACGACGGAGATCGTCGTTGAGTGGGTCTAGAAGACCTTCCCAGTTGTTGGACCCTGTGAGATGGTTCCATGTTAGACCTCCTTGTGAGAGTCCTAGCTCCGGTAAGTCTGATTCGGATGCCATTGTAATGGTCTAATGGATCAGATGAGAGAGAAAGGTGAGTATAAATATGAATATGATGAGTTTTTGGGTGATGGAGGTTTTTTTTAAAGAAAAAGGTTGGATTTGTTTTGGATTGGGTAAGGCAATAAAGGAGTAAGTGAAGTGTGTGGAATTGTTGAAAAGCTGGGTGCATTGTTTAACTTGTCGGAATGTTGGACAATAATTATTATGTTTTAGAATACTAGTTGTGGATCCGCGCGCGTTGCGCGATTATCGGTATTAATTAGAGTGTAATTATGAAATAATTATTTGATTTATTTGTAATTATACATTAGTTATAAGTAATTAATTAGCTATTTACCCCAATTTTCTTAAGCGATCCTATCACCCTCTCTCCATCCCCCTATCTGTAGTTCCTTAAACTATTTCAAATGCATAACATGTTTATCATCCAATATAGCAACATCATAATTATGTTTTAATTCATACTAAACAACAAAAATATTCAATGTATCCAGTTGAGGTTACACTAATAGGATGGTGTAATTATTTTTATTAAATAATAAGAAGCTAGCTCTACAAATTGATCAAAATAATATGAAGAATATAAAAATTTATGTAGGCTTTTAAATTCTCCGTATTAGAATCCAACCTTTGAAATTTGAACCCACTAAATATTTTAGTATGAATTTTGATTGCCAAAATTTTAATAATATTGCTAAAATAAGTAATTTACATCAAAAAAACAATCCATCCATTTCAAATATTGTCTTTACATCACCTTAATAGGAGCAAGGTATACAAATTCAGACAAAATTTGTATATTAGCACCATAATAGGTTAATATAAAAATAAAAGGACAAACTAATAGTAAATAATAGTTTAACAAACTTTAAGTGAAAATATGCAATCTCAAGAATCACTTATTCATCCAACCAAAATATGTTCAAAGCACACCCATCGAAGTCTCACTTCATCAATCCATCGATGTATCTTGGAAAATGGCAAATCTAAAGTGTACTGCAAATCTGCACAATGTAGCATTTTTCAAAGAAGTAAAAATTAGAAATTGATGAATTAAACAGAGCGTTTTTCATCAATTTCCATTAGCCGCAACATTCTTTCCCCCTCTTATGTTCTTGGTACCTTGCAGCAAAAACAACAAAATAATTACCAAATGACAACGAAATTCAAAGAAGGAAATTAAATTACAAAGTAAAAATGCTCTATATCTATTCCTCAAACATAGCTTTTCAGAATGCTCTATATCCTTCTCACTTTTAAAGAGTGTAGATTTGTAGCCATAGTCAGAACAATAAAGAAACCACAACACAAACTACATCATTAACTAAACTGACAAATAAAATGGTTGATTTAGATGATAGCTATTTAGAGGACTTGTTATAGATGTTATGGGTGGCATTCTGGGATCAAAACCCATTAAAGTTCAATATATTCTTATAAGGCTACTCGTAATTACAGAATGGTGTAGTGGTACAATATTTGGTGCATTGGGCAGGTTTTGCTGAAACTGATGCAACTTGGGAATCAGCTATACAGTTTCCTGAAACTATAGATTGCACCTGTTTCTTTTTCCCCTAACTCCTTTCTTCCACCCTCCCCGCTCCCTCTGTCTTTCCCGGATTCTTTCTATCTCCATCTTTTTTCCAACCTCCTTCTCTCTCTCTTTCTTACTCTCCTGGCCCTTCTCTCTCTCTCGCTCTCCTTTTTTATCACTCTATCACTCTTGGCCTCTTTCTTTTTTTTATCGCTCTGTTTCTTTCTCTTTCGACCCCCTTCTCTCTTTCTTGGCCCTATTTCTCTTTCTTTCCTTCTCTCTATCTTACTCTCTTTCCTTCCCAACCCCTTCTTTTTTCTTTCTCGCTCTTCTCCGAGCTCATTCCCCCCCTCTTTCTCTCACTATCTCTTCTTCCATCTCCTTCCCGACCCTTCTTTTTCTCACTTTCTCTCCTTCCGTGCCTATCTCTCTCTCCCGATCCCTTTCCTTTCTCAACATGCCCTATCCTCTCCTAGCATCCCCTATCTTTCTTTCAGCCTATCATCTCTATCTTTCATTGTTCCTCTTTCTTTTTCTACCAGCCATTTTCTTTCCTGATTTTCGCTCACTCTTTCTCTCCTTGCCCCTCTCTCTCTCTATCTATCTTACCCTCCTTCGTATCTCTCCCTTTCCTTCCCTAGTCTCTTGCTCTCTCCCACTCACACTCCTCCTCCCCCCCTCCTCTGTCTCTCTAAAGGTATATATTACTATGGTTTTACCAAAAAAACATTTTCTCATAAATTTTATATATTTTAGCAATTGACTTTTATGGTTTTGCAAAATTTAAAATCAAAGTGTTATTTACTACTCCTTATTACATACTAAAGATGGTTCTCTAAAAAAATCTGCATCTCTTTCTTCTTCCTTAAAAGTCCCTCACCATTTTATTTTCTTCATTTCACAATCCTAATTTTTCTCCATTTCCTCCTCCATAGCTTTTACGTATTTTCCACAATTAAACATTAAAAAAGGTCTCTTTAAGTGTTTCTCACCCCTTCTTTCCTCTATAGCATTGAAACCTCTATTTCTCTCTTTCCCTTTATCCTTCAACCTTGACTTTCTACTCCCTCTTTTTTATAATGGCTTCGAAAATTATAGGTTGCACATGTTCTCCTATTTTTCCTTCTTTCTTTTATTGGCCCAAACTCTTAGTTTTCTCTCACTCGATCTCTTTCTTTTTAACTTGCTTCTTCTTGTCCCTAGACCTATTCTATCCTCTCTAAAAGGCTTTGAAAATTATAGGTTGCACTTACTACATCTCCCCCGGCCATCTCCTTCTCACTCTCTTCCACATATGGACCCCTCTATTTTTCCCAGTTTCTCTCCATCTCCCTCTTTCTTCCACCCTTCCTCTCTTTTTCTCACCCTCAACCTATCTCTCACTATATCACTCTCCCTGCCTCTCTCTCTATATATTTCTCTATTTCTATCTCTTTAGACCCTTATCTCTCTCTCTCTTGGCCCGACCTCTTTCTCTCTCTTTCTCCCAACCTGTTTTTCTCTCTTTCTCTTCTTCGGCTCCTCTCTCCCGACCCCTTTTTCCCTCACTCTCTTCTAAGTCCTAGCTCGCCATCTTTCTTTTTTGGCTTGCCCATTCTCATTCTCCCGACCACTCTCTCCCTTGCCTCCTTTCTCTTTACCGACCCTTCTTTCTTCTACCCTTCTTCTTCTACCCTTCTCTCTCACTCCTCCCCCCTCTCTCCCATTTCCCCTATTTTCTATCCTTCTCCTTTTCCCAATCCCCCTAATATCATATATAACAATTCAACAGCAGCAATTTAAAGCATCAAGCTAACAACTAAGTGCTAAGACTGCTAACAAGATAGGTGTAAGCCCTTGTGACTTAAACGAGAATTCTGCTAATCATCCAAAGTGAAAAAAGTTTATTTAAAAATCAGACATGTTAGTTTCAGCCACAAAAGATTGTAGCTATAGTAATAGAATACAAAATTATAAAGATATCAGTGTCATTTGGCATTTGAAAGGAAGGAAATTCTATAACTTAGAGAAGCTATAAATATATCGAATTGGAGTTACATGAGGAGGTTATGTCTTTGGTTGCTGAGGTGGAGCCGGAGGTTCTGCCTTAGGTTGCCTTCGGTTGCTCAGGTTTTGTAACTTGGTGCCCCCTTTCAACCACCTAAGTATTCTCAATGCTACTGGGTCTCTGACAAAAGGCAAGAACAAATGGCCATCTCAATTTTTAGATTCCCGAGCCCTTTCTTTATTTTTTTTCTCTACTCCCTATCAGTTTAACATAACCAATGAACAAATATCAAGCCAGATTTAGCAATTAGTCTTTGTTAACTTTATTATATCTGATTTGAGTAAATTTTAAATCCCTTATTTCTACAATAAAATGCAGAGATTGCCTGGCCTCAAAAGTTTCGAGTCTGGAAAAAACAACGAATAACGAAACTAAAAGAAATTCTCTTACATTAGCTACATTCTCCTTGAAGATATGAGCAAAGAGCCTCTTACTTGCTGTAAACCAGCTTCCTTTCTTCACCATTTTGCTAACATTACTATGTTCTACTTGCTGCACAACATAAGAAAATGAATCTCAGTCAGAAATTAGAACCATTATATAGATTCCAGTTTGGGGCAGTCATGAGTAATTGCTTGCATGCTGTCATTACCTATTTCAGGGCACATATCAATTAATAAGACTGTCAAATTCGGACAGTTTTCAGCAATAACAATTAAACTGTTATTGGTAATAGGACATTGGTTTAAGTCAACATATGGCTTTCATTCTAATAGCAAAAAGAATAAATACAAAATCAATCCAATAAATTAACAATAATTAATAAATTGAGAATATAAATCACAAACAATGCAAATTCATAAATACCTTAACAAAGAAAACAGAATAAACACCAAATAATTAGAAAAACAGAAAAATTATATCAATCCTGTAAATTACACCAATTAATTAAACTTAGAATATAAATCAACGTACGATACAAATTCATAGAAATAAAGCAATTAAAAAGAAGAGAAAACAAACTAAATACAGGTAGTCAAAACACGTATACATTTTACTGTCTTAAAGGAAAACTCGGAATTCTAACATAAAAATCATATAATTTCTCATTAATAAGCAACCAAATGAATTTAAAAAAAAAAAAAAAAAAAAAGAAAGAAAGTAAAGAAAATGGAGCTTGCCGTTTTTACTTGCTAGTGACATTTCGGTCTGACAGTGCTCCTTCTCTCTTTCCCTTCTTTCTCTTGCATCGTTACCATCACATTTTCCCTATCTCCCTCTAACTCCTTCTCTCTTTCCCTTCTTTCTCTTGCATCGTTCCGTCACATTTTCCCTATCTCCCTCTAACCCTAGATTGTCACTGTTATATGACTCGAGAATCTTACTAAATAGTCCTTGTTAATCCAGATGTGGAATTTTAAAACCAAGATCATAAGGAATAATAAGACCATACGTTTAAAACCATGGAATTTTACTTCAAGAATTGTAGTAGTTATGGCATTCTGTTCCTTAGTCCTGATAAATTTCCTCTTACTTAAAATCAGTTAGCTATCAAATATTTTTACACACTAATCAAGTCATATGAGATGCCATATAAGTTTCACAAGGCCACAAGGGTTTAGGTACTAATGCTTAACACTTCAATGGCTCAATTCTCTCAAAGTACAGGCCACTTGACCACCTCACCTCAATCTTATTAAATGAACAATGTAATCAACATTGCAGCAGTACTCATCCCCTTTCATATCTTCATCATATGAAGAAATTGGCCCAAGTGATACACATTATAGTATGATGCTATGATCCACTTCTAAAAAATGGAGTGAAAAAGTAGAGGGAGGGAAACAGCAATAATACCTTGTGCCAAGGGTGAGCTTTAATCTGTGGAAACCTAAAATCAGCACAGTTGGGATTCATCACCAAGAACCTGAAAATATATGGACACAATCAATTAATTTTGTAATCATTGCATAACTTGAGTTTGTGGCAATTCCAACATGAATGCTAGATTCTGACCTTGATAATCACCACAAGTAAATCAGATAAGTAACTCCGCGCATGCATTAATTGCAAATTAAGATCATTCATAAAGCTTAACCGCCATGGTTACACTAAGCATAAGATCGTTCCTGCATCTCAAGAAAATATTTATTTTTCTACTCGGTCTTATTGTTCGCAAGATCTGGACAAAATCAGAAATCACAGAATAAAAAATACACAAAACAATTTCACCCACACCAAGCCTGCACGCAGCCAGCCAGAACATTGAACTGTTACTTGCTTGGCATTTTATAAAACTATTGTACTAAAGACCATTATTGTATAAAGTTGATAGGATGGAAGGACAGAGACAAAACCCTACTTGTTGATCCAGAGGAATTCAAGTGCCTGAAGATAATTTCAGAGTTGAACGAGGAAGCAGCAACATTTATGAGCTTTACAAGGATCCAAACCCAGCATGTCAAGATGGCTCTATTTGGAAAGACATAGTATCATCACCTTCAAGGTTAAATGTGCAACAAGAACTGAAATACTCAATCCAAAGAGTTGAAGGGTTGATAGATACCAAAAATAACAGGAGCAGCTTCCGGAATTTATGAGAGCTGGATGCCTGGATTCCAAAAGGATGCAAGCTGAAATCTTCCACCATCTCGAGCTTCTTGTTCTGCAATTCTGAATGCTTCTGGCAAAACAGAGTCAAACGTCTGTATGTAGATCCAAGCACATCTACCTGCTAACAACAATTTAGATGATACAGCTGCAGCATCATTTTGGGGAAGTATACAGATCAATAAAGCACAAGTAGCAGTATGCTGTTTAAAATGCAATTTAATTAAGTTGCATCAAGCTGACCACCAAACAACCAACGACACACTCACGTCCTAGTGCCAACACTTACATATTTCAGTCTTTAATTCTCTATGAATTTCAGCAAATACCAGTACCACTCAATGTTCATATGGCTTACCTCAAAAGACAACATTTTTCTTTGCCCTTCAATGCATTCAAGTTATACATCGAGGCTTCATTACATCTAAAATCAGGGCAGAAATTTTTTTTAAGTTGTCTTCTAAATTTAATACATTCAGAAATTTGAATGTTTTTGAGAAGTCAATTTGTAACAGTTGTCTAATACTGGGTATAAAAGTAGCCAAAATTCTGGTAAATAAGCAATCATGGCAAACCACTTTACATAGCTCCAACACCAAGCAAATGCAGACCAAAAGGCTATATAGGAGAGAAAGGAGTCAATGAGAATGAGGGTTGTAAGTCTTGCAATGAAGTCCCATAATTGCTAGAACCAAGTTTCTCATAAGAAGCACCCTAAGAAACTTGAAATTTTCAAACTCATAATCCACACAGCAACTGATAGAAAGCACACATACTACAGCTCTCAAGCGAACAGACAATGCACCATGATTTTATTTTTTCATGGACCATAAATTTCAAAAATTATCACGAGACAGCGTGATAAATTGAAATTTTGAAACACAGTGCTTTATATAATGAGCTTCCTTTTTTTTCTGCCTTTTCTTTTCAAAAGTAACTATAAACTTGAGAAGATTCCAAAGGGAATTCTTGACATCAATAGATATATCAATCCTTTCATGCGTTGAACCTTCAAAACATCTAGAGGATATGACAAGCATAGATATCTTCCCTTTGAATATTTTGCTTTAATACAGAACAATAGGAAAGAAGAAACTAAGATCTTACACATGAAAGATTAACATCAGATGAAGATCATATAAAACTGACATTAAAGGCCAAGAACATTACAACAAACGCAACAAACAGGTACTACACAATATAGAGAGAGATTACGGCTTATAGAGGATGCCCTGTGTTTTAAGATACTGCCAACTACCAAGTTAAGATCAGACACGTAACAATCTCAAAACAGTTCAGTGTCGACTGATAGAGTACAATACTTCTAAAAAGATGGCAGAATACCAAGAGTGAACCAAACCTGAACCCTAAAAAGGACCAAAAGTGCTCTGAAAAGGATCAAATCAACACCCTATTATAGCTGATAGGAAATTCAACAAAAGTATGCAGATGCTCTTAACAAAAAAATAGACAGGAAAGTAATGAGTTAACGACATTTGGCATCTTTGGGTGGTGAAGGTTCTATTGTTATCAAATAATTTTATGTTATATTTCAGCATCTTTGGGTGGTGAAGGTTCATAGACCATTTTTCAGAACTACGAGCAGTCGGGTACTGCAATCTCACATAAGCAGAACACATTTTCAGCACAGCAGCTCGGTATAACAATATCACGTAAAACAACATCATAATCAAACTTCAAAGCAAAACACCAGACACACAACGATACGAGCACTGTAATCTCTCCCAGTCTCCCCTTCCCTCCCTATCACATAACCACTACGATGCTACCTTCATGTTTCAACAGAGCAAACAAGAACAATCTTTTGAAAAATACTTGCAGCTGAAATACAAATCATGCAAACATGTAACATGTCCAACTCAATAACATCACCAGATCAAACCCGGGTTTTCGAGCACTAAGCCACTAATATAGTCCATCAAAATTTGTAATAATTCGGGTTTTTAAGCTCAAAAACACATAACCCTCTCTGTTTATCATCAAACCCAGATTTAAAACATTCATCAGAAATTCTAAAATGGAGTTTTCAGTTCTATTTATTAAGAGAAAAGGGATTAATTAACCGTTCCAATAAAAAAAATATAGAGCAACATCAATCTTGTCAAGTTGAAACTATCACAAGCAAGAGCTGGTTTATGCCCCAAATTTCAATTTAAGCAGCTGTATAACTTACTAATTTTTGCAGTTCTTAAGCCAATTAGCTCGGCCAGCTGCTAATCAAATTACTTTACAATTTGAAGCAAAAAAACAACCCCATTTTTCAGTAAAATCAAAATGCAAAAAAATTACTGATGCAGATCAAGATTGTGATGTAAACTTTTTTTGACATGCAGATCAAGATTAATTTCACAACAATACCAAAAAAAATCCATCCTTATTACATCGTAAATCGAACAAAAGATGAAATTCACAACAAATTAAGCAAAAGATCAAACCTTCACCCCAAAAACAAAAAACCCTAAAACAATCGCATCAAAATTTCAAATCAAAAACCCAGAAACAAAAACTCTATAGCTAGAAAGAAAAAGGAAAATTGAAAACAAACCTTTCAATGTCGAGAGTAGACTAAAATACTGATTTCGCCGACGGTAGCGGTAACGGCGTTGCTGGAATCTACTTCATCTCATGGCTATGAAAAAAGGGGAAAATTTGTTCAATCGGAAGAAGAAAACCCTAACCCACAAAGTATGAAGTTGCGAAATCAAAATTTAACCACAAAGTATCAAATTAAGATCAATCAAAGTAGAAATGAAAGGGAATGAAGAGGGAAAACAAGAAATCAAGAAGAGAAAGAAAGCTCAGAGTACGCTGCTCATGGAGGAGAGAGAAAGAGATCCTCACTAAACACTCAATCTTCTGTACTTGCACGAGTACAGGGAAAGCAGAGGGAACGGAGAAACAATGAGAGGGCAAAAAAGCCATTTTAGTATTCATGTAGAGAGAAGAGGAAGGGCAAAACAGCCAATGCACTATGAGGAAGGGCAAACACTATGAGGAAGGGCAAAATAGCCAATGTACTATTCATTTTCAACAGTAGCTAAAGTTCTCATATTTAAGTAAGGGGAAGATATGCCCCTCACTTTAATTTTTGGAAAATGGGCTATATATAAGAAGCGAAAAATAGAAAAATATATGAATATATAACATTAGTTTCATTAATTTAGTTATTAAGTTTAATTCAGTAAAAATAATTTTAATTCAGTAAATATAATTTCAGTTCAGTAAAAATCAGTAAAGTTAAAGAAGAAATATAATAGAAAATCCATAAAAATGATTTCAATTCAGCAAAAATAATTTCAGTTAAGTAAAGTTAACTTTAGTTCAACAAAAATAATTTAAGTTTAGCAAAAATAATTTCAGTTCAGTAAAAATATTTTTAATTCAGCAAAAATAAGGTGAAGTGAACGGGACCTTACACGTGATTTTGTCATGGATTTCAAAATGAATACCAAATTAGGAAAAATATTAATACATATAGCATTATCCTTAATTTTTTGTCATTTCTTTCTAATTAATTGCAACACTTTTTTTTTTATAGTACTACCTCCATTTTTAAATAATTGACACAATTGAAATAAAATGTCTTGCGTGAACCTAGTCTACAATAATATTATTGTGGACCAGAGGTTTATATGCACGCAACTGACGTTATATTAAACATAGTGACTATTTTGGGGATTTTTGTACGCACCCGAGAGGGGGAGGGGGGTGTACTTCCGGCGGGAGACAAATTCGCAATTCAACAATCGAACGGCCCGGTCACCTGCAAAACAACGAACCTCAGGTGTACCGAAGGTTCGCCTCCGACGATCAAGTTAGTGACCGGAAAAAGGTATTTTAGAGAGAGAAGGTAGAGAGAAGGGAGAGTATTTTTGGGAGTCATTGCACTTGGAGGATATTGATTCTATCTCATCTGATGTAAATGATCAGTATTTATAGTGCATTGGGACATGTGCCTTTTAGATTATTTAATCTAAGTAGATAGGCTTCCCACCGTTTTACGGTTTCTAGGGTTATGGGCTTGAGGCTCATTTTTACCCCGTTATCATTGAGTGACACGTGTCATGCTCTAATTGGCTCGTTGAGCGCTAGCTTAGGGACATGTGTCGTAGTGGCATTGGTCCATATGTCAAGGGTATTTTTACCCTAAACATTAGCCCCTCGGAAGGAGTAATTTCTCATTTTAAGAGGGATTGTTCCTTTCGAAATTATATTAAGGCTTTATTTGCTGCCGTTCAAAGTCTCTTTGGTCGACATTTGTGTAGTTCAATAAAAGAGAGATTTGATTAACTTGGAAAGTTTTGATATTTTGAATGGTATGACATTTTCTAAGTTAATCAATCATAATAATGATTGCCGCTGAACTAGATAGATGTCGACTCTCATTTCTTTCAGCCCCACTATGGCGATCATATTACCTTTGGGCGACTTAAAATATTCTTGAGACATTTGCTTGGCTATTAAGATTTCTGCAAATAGTTGAACCTTTTTAGGTGTTATTTTTATAATTTAATGGAACGTATGTACGTTCAAATTAAGACTCAATTTGATCTTCAAGACTCGCAGTCGGGAGCCGTCTGATATCCCATAGGGCAGGCGACCTCCTTTACCGTTTGTGTTGCATTTTAGCAATTACAGACGGCTTGGAGCTATTTGACTAGACTTAATTAGTTTACTCGATTACAAAACTTAACCAAGTTTTAATTTTAGGGCAGGTGGCAAATGGCCGCCTGATATCCCAAAGGCAGAGGGCATATGGCCGCCTGATATCCCATAGGCAGGTGGCAAATGGCCGCCTGATATCCCAAAGGCAGGTGGCAAATGGCCGTCTGATATCCCATAAGCAGGTGGCAAATGGCCGCCTGATATATATCCGAAAGACAGGGAGCATATGGCCGCCTGATATCCCATAGGCAGGTGATAAATGGCCGCCTGATATCCCATAGGCAGGTGGCAAATTACTGCCTGATATCCCATAGGGCGGATGACTTATTTTGCCGCCGGTGTTGCATTTCTGCAATTACAGACAACTTGAGTCGGTTAACTTAGTTGGTTCAGCTATTGTGAGACCTTACTAAGTTGGCTAATTTTGAATTTAAAGCAACCAGGTGGTAGGAGGCTGTCTGATATCCATAGGACAGACGGTTAATTAAGCCGTTTATAGTCCCACGTTAGATTTCGCAATTACAAGCGACTACAACCTGGTCCTAATTAAGACAGTCGGTTGGGCCTTTTATGGTACGAGTTTATAGAGTAATGTGACACCCGAATGGGAGGTGCTCTCTATAAGCGAATTTACCCGAATGGATGTCGCCGAATGTCTCACTTTATTAGAGTGGACGGTTAGGTTAGATTTACCATCTATACATTGCACAGGCGGTGCGTCTCCCATCTGGAGACATATCTAACATTTATTGGATGTAAAAAAGCCAGTTCAACATACTTTTTAGACCTTTTCCGGTCGGTATGCTGCCCTTGAGGGAGACTTAATCCAATATTAAAATAATTCAAGAAATCAAATAAGTTGATCGGTCATTTTTAGACTGTCTAACTTTTCTAAAGTTCATTTTAGAACTTGTCAACGGGAGTGTCAACGGTCTTTTTAGGCCGTCGAACTTTATTGAATTCAATTAATGAATCAATGATAGTAATAATAAAAACAATAAAAAGTTACCATATTTGGGCTTGATGGTCAGCTTAATAGTTACACGACACCTTGATATATACTTGTATTTTACATGTCATTTTTGTGCTTAACGCCTAGCTTGGTAGCATGTGGCACTAATTAATAGTATTCCATACTTGTTTGCCATGAACTTGAGCTTTAAGGAAAACATGCTCGGCTTCATTAAACAAAACTAAGCCTCTAAAGCGGATGGTTTATGGCTTGACTCTTATACTCACAGGAGGCTTTCTTGGTGCCGGTGAGAGTGTCGTGCAAATTCATTCCGCTCGGTCTTAGATGGCATTTTAATGCCCAAAATTACAGGCTTAAGTCCACATACATTCGGCTAGGCTTAAACCCATGTACATTCGGCTAGGCTTCAACCCATTTACATTCGGCAAGGCTTAAACCCATATACATGCGGCAAGGCTTAAACCCATATACATGCGGCTCTTGTGAATTGAAAATGCCGCCTACATACATTCGGCTCAGTTTTAGTGCCGTCTATGTAACGCCTAAGTGCCGCTTATCAGTTATCAATGCTCATAATTGTAGCCCCTAAGCTAACTGATACAATCAGAATAATGATAAAATTGTTAAAGATTTTATCGAAAAAAAGTTTTTAATCAGTGAAGGAAGAATTAAGAAGAAGTGAAATTGTAGTAGTGCTACGACTATATTCTTGCTTGTATCATTTTACACTTACATGGAATTATATATATAGCCATGAGTTAAGAGTACAATAATTACTCACATTTAGTCATATGAGTTCACAAGTGTTTGGACCTATATGAGCATTGTATAATCAAATCAATAACTGACATTCACCTTATTAGACTTATCTTCTAACACTCCCCCTTGAATGCCCATACTCATATAGAAAAGAAAAAATATATGTTGCCTCATTAAAAACCTCGCTAGGTAAAACTCTATGGGATAAAACCCATAGCTAGGGAAAAAGAGTACAACAATATTATTGTATTATATGCTTTGGTATACCGCCTCGTTAAAAACCTTGTCAGGAAAATCCCAGTGGGATAAAAACCTGATCGAAGGAAAAAAGAGTGCAGTGCATATAATGCTCCCCCTGATTTCAACATAGTTCACGAAGATGTCGCATTCCAATTTTGTGAACTAATTGCTCAAATTTCTTGGAAGGAAGTGATTTGGTGAATAGGTCGGCAAGGTTGTCACAAGACTGAATTTGGTGGATATTTATTTCCTCACCCTTTTGCAGATCATGTGTGAAGAATAGTTTTGGGGATATATGTTTTGTCCTATCTCCCTTAATATATCCTTCAGTTACTTGAGAGATGCATGTTGTATTGTCTTCAAAGATGGTGGTTGGATTTTCTGTTATTGCTTTCATCCCACACTCTTCTTGGATATTACTAATCATCGACCTCAGCCATACACATTCTCGTCCTGCTTCATAAAGGGCTATCAACTCTGCATGATTTGAGGATGTCGCAGTCAATGTCTGCTTTGTTGATTTCCATGATATTGCAATGCCGCCATAAGTGAACATATATCCATTTTGTGACTTGGAATTTTGAGGATCCGATAAGTATCCAGCGTCTGCATACCCAATGAGCGCAACATCTTGTTTTGGTTCATAATATAAACCAAGGTCTTGTGTCCCTCGTAGGTATCAGAGTAAGTGTCGGACTCCCTTCCAATGTCTGTATGTCGGTGAATTGCTGTACTTGGCTAACAAATTCACAGAGAAAGCTATGTTGGGTCTAGTGTTGTTAGCTAAGTACATTAAGGCCCCAATTGCACTTAAGTATGGTACTTCTGGACCCAGAATTTCTTCATTTTCTTCTCGGGGTCTGAATGGATCATTTTTCATATTCAAAGAACGAACAACCATTGGAAAGTTGATTGGAGTTGCTTTGTCCATGAAAAATCTTTTCAAAACTCTTTCTGTATAGTTTGATTGATGGACAAAAATACCATGACTCAAGTGCTCAATTTGCAATCCAAGGCAAAATTTAGTTTTTCCAAGGTCTTTCATCTCAAATTCTTTCATCAAGTATTTTGCAGTTTTCTCAAGTTTATTTGGGGTTCCGATGATATTCAAATCATCAACATAAACTGCAATAATAGCGAATCCTGATTGTGATTGCTTTATGAAAACATAGGGACTAATTTGGGTTTTCTTGAACCCTTCTCTCACAAGGTATTCACTAAGACGATTATACCACATCCTTCCAGATTGTTTCAATCCATAAAGTGACCTTTTTAGTTTTATGGAAAGTAATTGTCTAGGCTTGTGGTTTTCTGGTAGTTTTAGCCCTTCGGGGACTTTCATGTAAATGTCTGTATCGAGTGACCCATACAAATACGCCGTCACTACATCCATTAATCGCTTTTGCAGTCCTTTTGTGACTGTCAAACTTACCAGAAATCTTAATGTAGTTGCATGAACTACTGAAGAATATGTTTCTTCATAATCAATCCCTGGAATTTGAGAAAATCCTTGGGCTACAAGTCTTGCCTTGTATCTAACTATCTCATTTTTCTCATTACGTTTTCTCACAAATACCTATTTGTATCCAACGGGTTTTACACCTGCTGGTGTAAGAGTTATTTTTCCGAAAACTTCTTGTTTTTCAAGTGACTTCAACTCAGCCAGCATTGCCTCCTTCCACTTTTGCCAATCACTCCTGTGTCGGCATTCTTCCACTGTTCTTGGTTCAATATCATTTTCATCAGACACAATGTCGATTGCGATGGAATTTGCAAATATTTCATCCACGATAACATCTTTCCTATTCTAATGAGTCTTGGTAGAGACATAATTCATTGAAATTTCATTGTTATCGACGTCTTGAACATCTTGTTCATTCCCCGTAGGGTTGTCTTCTTGTTCGTCCCCTTTTGGATTATCATCATTTTCTTTACTTTCATCCACATTTGGTCTTTCTTGACCTTCTGACGGGGGAACATTATTAGTCTCATTTTCTATTCCATCCAATCATTTCAATTTCCTTGGTTTAGAATCTTTTGAACCAAGTGGTCTCCCATGCTTTCTGCGTGCTTGAGATTCATTCTCAATGGCCTTATTATTAGTTGGGATTTCAATACGTGCAGGGGCATTTTTAGCTGGTATATGTGATTTTTTCACCTTCTTTGTGTCTACAAATGCATCAGGCAATTGATTTGCAACACTTTGTAAATAAACAATTTTCTTGACTTCTTGTTCACACATATTTGTTCGTCGGTCTAACATCAACAGTTGTGTTGCATTCCAAATAAGTTCTATTTCTTTCTTACGTGGGTCCACTTTCTCTCCCCCTAAGGCTGGGAATACTGCTTCATTAAAGTGACAGTCGGCAAATCTAGCCGTAAATAAGTCACCAGTCAATGGTTCAAGATATTTAATTATAGAGGGGGATTCAAACCCAACATAAATTCCCAGCCTTCTTTGTGGACCCATTTTTGTTCGTTAGGGTGCAGCGATGGGAACATATACAGCACAACCAAAGATTTTTAGATGTGAGATACTTGGTTCTCGACCACAAACAAGTTGTAGTGGTGAGAATTTATGATAAACTGTAGGTCTCAATCTAATTAGTGCCGCTGCATGTATTATAGCATGTCCCCAACCAGATGAAGGCAATTTTGACCTCATTAATAATGGTCTTGCAATCAATTGCAATCTCTTAATTAGTGATTCAGCTAGACCATTTTGTGTATGAACATGAGCTACTGGGTGTTTAACATCAATTCCAATTGACATACAATAATCATTAAATGTTTGGGATGTAAATTCCCCAGCATTGTCGAGTCTTATTTTCTTTATTGTATGATTCGGGAATTGTGCTCTTAATTTGATAATTTGGGCAAGTAATTTTGCAAAAGCAACATTTCTGCTTGAAAGCAGACTGACATGTGACCATCGTATAGAAGCATCAATTAAAACATGAAATATCGAAATGGTCCACATGCCGGATTAATTGGCCCACAAATATCCCCCTGAATTCTTTCCAGGAATTTTGGAGATTCAATAGCAATTTCGTTCATAGATGATCTTATTATTAATTTGCCAAGTGAACATGCAGAGCATGTCAATTCATCCAACCGAGGAATTTTGACATTTCTTATTGAATGTCCAACTGAATTTGCTATTATTCTTTGCATCATCCTAGTTGTTGGATGTCCCAAACGATCATGCCATAAAATAATCAAATGAATATTGATTTCCACGGGTCGTATGTTTATACGATATAACCCCGAAGAGTATGCTGGCAATTTCTCATAAATGTGTTTCTTGCCATATTTTTCCGCCGTGAGGCATAAATACTCCTTTTGACCAGTTGTCATTGTTTCTAAATGATAGCCATTTTGACGCACATCTTTAAAACTTATGAGATTTCTTCGAGATTTACTCGAGTATAAAGCATTATTGATCATCAATTTTGTTCCATTTGGAAGCATTATACAAGCCTTTCCAAATCCTTCAATTAATTTTGCTGACCCGGAAATAGTGTTTACATTTGCCTGAAACAACTTTAGTTGTGGAAAAATATTTTCTATCCTTCAAGATAGTGTGTGTTGTTCCACTGTCCAAAAGGCACTGATATTCGGATGCAACTTCAGGCATATCCATATCTTCATAAAATAAATATTTAGTTTAGAATAATATCATACAAACTTTTATTGATGATAGAAATTAAAAGTACATGACTAGTCATTTAAAGTACAGTACATAACAGAAATACATTAAAATATGGTATTGTTTGGGGTAAAAATTACCCCTGCCTCGTGGCCCAATGGAGGACTGACACGTGTCAACCTCGTAAAGGTCCAAGGGGGTCCAATCAGAGGATGCCACGTGGCATTGTAACCCTAACGGGGAGCAGATCTTCATCTGCTATAAATAGAGGAAAATCCTCATTGATTACACAATTGACACAATCATAAATACACACTTACTGAGCAATATTCATTGCAGAATCTCTCGGAATCCGAGAGACTAATTTACTTTCCGCATCCTTTGTAACCCAGACGTATTCTAACTTGATCGTCGGAGGCGGAACTCCAACCAGCCGGAGTCTTCGTGCTTTTGCAGGTACAGGCGGTCGATCCCAGTTCTGGTGCTGTAAATCTCCCGCTGGACACATCGAAAGACCCCGAAACATTGGCGCCATCTGTGGGGAGAGTACTTCCAGAATGGCATCCCACAATTCTATACCTCTTAACTAAGATAAACGGCCTCTGGCCGAACCTAAGGTCCAAACGGACCAAGATAGTGGCGACGACCAAGGTGTCGAAGCCTACATGGCCCCAGACGGGTCATTCAGATCCAGGCGGTCCCGTCCCAGAGATATAAAGGAACGGGACCAGGACAGAATTGTCACCAGCAACCCAACCGGCCAGCCGGCTGGGCAAGCCCAAACGGCTGAGGGTGCCGTCCCTGTAACTAGAGATGAACTCATGAAATTCATGAGTAGCTTCAAGGGAGAGATCAGAGATCTGATCAGCAAGAAGGCAGGCTCCCACAAGGGTCAGTCAACCAAAAAGCCATCTCCTTCTGGGAAGAAGTCTACCCCTTCGAGGAGAAAGCCTTCGATCTCCTCCTAGGAAGAAGCCGGTTAAAGACCGGGTTCCCACCCCTCATCGAAACCGCTTGGACCGGATTGGCCCACGGTGGACCTCTCGAAATTTCACTTCCCTGAAGCGGGGCAAAGGAAGGCTATTCGGTTTGTACAGCCGGATAGGTTAAAGAAGACGTTCTCTGATGCTCGAATGTTTCTCCTGCAAAAGAGAAGTCAACGAATGTCTGAGTCGGCTTCAACGTCGACCTTCTCAGACAGTCTCCCTAATACCTCAATGGGGTATTCGGGGACAAACCAAGAGAGTCATTCTGGCGGCATGTCTGCCCGAACTGGCCCTCAGATTATCCAGTAGGCTCCGTATGTGCCCAACAGCCATACATGCCCTATGGGTCTCCTTACACGCAGCCGACCCTCTTCAGGGGTCAGGCGGCGCAGAATGTCCAGCTTATGGACTGGCAGCTTCGGCTGCTAAACCTTGGGAAACAACCTTCAGCTTTCTCTAGGGAGATAACCGAGAGCCGACCAAGGTTAAGAACGTGTTGGTGGGTGCATATGACGACACCACCAACCTGGAAGATCACCTCATGGCATACACCAACCTCATGTACTTGCAGGGGTTGGATGATGTCGCCTGGTGCAGGTACTTCCCGACAACATTGAAGGGCATAGCCCCGGTCAGTCATCCCAGAAGAAGAAAAAGGAGTTGAGACCGTATGTCCCTAAGTACGAGTTCAACAAACATTGCTCCTCCATCCTCATGGAGGTCAAAGTCCGGTTATCTATAGAAAAACTGGCTACAATGAAGAGTCCCATCAAAAGCCGGGACAAGTCTAAGTTTTGCCATTTTCACGAGGACTTAGGCCATGATACCAATGGTTGCTATAGCCTCAGGCGGTTGCTGGACCGTCTGGCTGATGAGGGGGCTTTGAAGCCCTACCTTGTGAAATCCAAGGGCAACTCCCGGGCCAATAATGGGCAGTCGTCCAAAAAGCCCGAAAATCTTGCTATAAGCTCCGACATTATTGAGGAGCAAATCATGACCATAGCAGGCGGCTTTGCCGGGGGTGGGGAAAGGAATGGTGTCCTTCCAACAAGTGTATTATTCTGATAGAGGGTTCAGAATTATCAGGTAGCTAATTCTTTAGTGAGATCAAGTGATCGGAATGCCTGGGTGGAGGCCGCTTCCGATCTGTAATATTAGTGAACAACTAATATTACAGCTTTGTCTCAACTAAACCCTTCGGGTTGAACCCAAACGAACTGCCGATCCGAACAGACGAATTAATCCGAAGGATTTGATGAGTCACTAGAGTATTACGAACACAGACGTCGGATATCGAACTAGGGCGTCGAGACCGAGCGTGGCAAAATCAACAACCAACAAGTTCGAGCGTAGCCGTAGCATCACAATGGCCTAGCCATGTGAACGCTAGGATAGCTCGAGCTAGCATGCACTGTGTACGGCTAGGCGCAAGCCTAGACGCACCATGTGTGCTAAGCGCGTCGTCGCTAGCACTAGGCGCATATGGCAGCACCATCGCTAGCACTAGGTGCTTGCGTGTGTGCGTGCCTCGCATGGCAGCACCATCGCAGCACCATGCGTGCTTGCGTGTGTGTGCGTGCCTCGCATGGCAGCAACATGCGTGCTAGCTTGCGTGCGTGCCTTCGCATGGCAGCACCAAGCAGCAGCAGCACGCTGTGCTAGCCATGCATGCTTGCGTATGTGTGCATACCCTTCGCATAGCTACGTGCTTGTGTGCGTGCCTTCGCATGGTAGCACCAAGCACAGCGAGCTAGGAGCAGCGCTAGGCAGCAAGCAGCAGCAACGAGGGGCCTCGCCCAGCACAGCAGCAAGCGTGGCTCGCTAACAGCACGCATGCGCTGGCTGGGGCTGATGCTTGCTAGCTGTGCATGCTGGCCAGCAAGGCTTGCAGCCAGCTCACTCCCTTTGCTCGGTGGCGGTTTGTGAGAGGTGGGGACCAAGGCTTAGAGCCATGCCACTTGTTGATTTGTGGTTGCATTGTTTTATAATTTATTTTGGAATTAAATAAATTAGTAGAAAATGCAACTATCCCACATTGATCATGAAATGGGGATGCAAGTTGCCATTCCCTATAAATACCCCAAGATTGGGCATTTGGGAAACAACTTGAGTGGAACTCAAAAAGACATCTCTATTATTGAGAAAACCTTTAAGTTCGTAAAACTCTAGTTTTATACTTGGTCAAGTCTCGACTAACCCTCGAGACGAAGATCGTTCGGGTCGGGTTGTGGGTACGAGCCGTTTGAGGTCGTCACGCTTGTGAGGCTTAATAGCTTCGAAGTAAGAGATCGGTTTGCGAGCGAAGCACGCTTCAAGGGTATTACTTCTTTATCCCTTTTCTTAATTATTGTTTAATTATGTTTATGCATGCTTTATTGCTTTAATTATTGGGGTGGGTCTTAGGCGGGTTTCTCTTCCGCGTAGCGTTGGACGCTACGAAACCCAACAGCGGTATCGGAGCCGCGCTCTTTTTTAATTATTGCAATTTGTAATTAATTAAGGTGATTTAAAATGGATTTAAATTTCTGGTTGTGCTTTCTAATTAGATTAGAAGCTCGTTTTAATTAATTTTAAAACTCGTATTTTTTCTCGTTTTGGCTGACGAACCCAGATTTCGACTCAAAAATAGTGATTTTTGGGTGGAATCGATATTCTAAATCGTTTCTGATCCTTTTAAGTTGACCAGAAGCCAAAATCCACCCAGAAATATGTTTTTCGAGGGGTTTTTCGTTTTTGACGAAAATTTTAAATCTTTATACCTTGATTAATTTAAGCATGTCAAGGGTAGATTAAATGCATTGTTGCTTCCCTAATCTACAGCAATTATAAATCCTT